GTGACAAATATCTGAGCAATTTGGAAAATCAATGATATTATCAGGTTATTCCATATATAGGGAATAGTCAAGTACTAGTAACTACATATGAAGTATAAGAAAGTAATAAAAATCCTTTCAAAAAGCAGTATGTACGTCCAGTGTGGTGGTAGACCCTTTAATACCAGCACACAAGAGACAGAGGCAGGTGTATCTCTGTGAGATGAAGGCCAGCTTGCTCTACAAAAATCAATGATATTATCAGGTTATTCCATATATAGGGAATAGTCAAGTACTAGTAACTACATATGAAGTATAAGAAAGTAATAAAAATCCTTTCAAAAAGCAGTATGTACGTCCAGTGTGGTGGTAGACCCTTTAATACCAGCACACAAGAGACAGAGGCAGGTGTATCTCTGTGAGATGAAGGCCAGCTTGCTCTACATAACAAGTTCCAGGCCAGTTGTGGCTACAGGAAGACCCTGTCTCAAAAAAAAAAAAAAAATGCAAGTCAACAAGCAAACAAATGAATGAACAAAACACTATACACAGAGCTGGGGATGTCACTCTGAGTTTAATCCTGAGCACCACAAAGAAGAAGGAAAGGCAGGGAAAGAAGAGAAGAGAAGAGAGTGGTTGGGAATAGAAGGGAGCGGAAAGAAGGAGAGGGGAGCAGAGGAAATAGGAGAGATAATCAAAAGTGCACAGTGCTTATGTGTGATGGCCTGTGCCTGTATTTCAAAAGCCAAGGAGGTAGCATCACCTGAATCCAAGGCTACCTTGTCTCAAATAAAGAAAAACAAAACAGGCGGATGAGATGGCTCAACAGGTAAAGGTGCCCTTACCCCCAAAGCTGACCATCTGAGTTCAATCCCTACACTCGCATGGTAGGAGAGAACTGAACCCCACAAGCTGTCCTCTGTCCTTACGCATGTGTCCTACAGACAGCTGGGATGACAGGTGTGAGCCACTGAACAACCAAGTTTAGACTTTTAGTTGTTTCTTTTTTCCCTTTTTTCTTTTTTTTAATTGGTCTTTTTGAGACAGGATCTCCATGTAACCCCAGCTGGCCTGGAACAAACTAGGTAGACCAGGCTGGCCTTGAACTCACAGAGATCTGCCTGCCTCTGCCTCCTGAGTACTGGAATTAAGGGCATGTGCCACTATGCCCACCACTTAGTTATTTCTCATTATTAACCACAGTGGGTAGATTTGCTTTTGTTTGCTTCTTTATTGTCATTTTTTTTTATCTGTGCTTTGAGGGAGTCGTAAAATATTTCTCTAATGGACATAAGCATTAATCATTTTCTTTTCTTATTCTGACTTTGGACATTGCGCGACCTAAAATAAGAAGAGGGAATAATGTGTTCTGGGATGAACAATGACTTTGTCTAAGTTCCACTTCTGTTACAAGGCCTTTGGACCTTTGTCTTTAAGGCTAAGAAAATGGAAACAGAACCCAGCACCTAAGGGGAATGCATCAGTTTCTAGCATGAAACAAGTTTATACTAGCGAGGCAAGAGGTCAATCCTCATGCCAAAGGACTTTGTACAACCTTTTAAAAGAAGCGCTTAGAAAGGACCAGATTCTGTCACGTGTCCTACATACGATATAATGAATCTCACAAGAGACAGCAGCATGCCATAAAGTGTCCCTGCCATGGCTTCTGCAAGAGCCCAGCTGCCAGATGAGTTATGTCACTATGCCAAACAAGGCCCAATAAAATTCTGTTACAGGCAACACTGACAATTTTTTGTCTATTTTATTGACTCTTGTTTTAGAATTTACTGTAGATGTGATTTGTGTTATCATTATGAATGACATTTACTGAGACTAGTGAATTGAGCCATTTGAAAGTACATTATTTTTAAGCAATTGAAAATAAGACTAACATGTGCCTTTAATAAGTACATAAAAGCAAAACACACTTTCACATAAACTACACAAATCACATGTGTTCATTAAGCTAATTGTTCTTGGTGATGAAAAGTTTAATGGGACAGAACTTTATTTCAATTTGGGGGCATACAATTTTGTTTATTTTTCATGTCCAATGTACTTTATCAGAATGGGCTGTGCAAACTTCTTGAGGACTTTCTACTTTCACTGAGAATTAGGCTATGAAAACCAAGTACTCCGCCCAGTTTCCCTGAAAGCACATGTAGAATCACACAGTCTGCTCCTCTCCTGTAAGAAAGTTCATGTGGGAAGAACAGGCAAGATGTATAATCCCAGCACTGCCCTGTGAGCAGGGAACGTCAACCTCTTCAGGAAGGCACACCAGACCCTCCCTTCTAGAACAAGCTACTGACAAGCTGCTGAATTCGGATCTTCCAAAACATCTTGGAATATATATGCAGGGAGAGAAGAAAAAGGAAGAATAAATTAGGGGACGTTTAGGAACAGGAGTCTAAAGTGCTTATTTTATCAGATGGTCAATAAGAAGCTAAGCATAGCAATGCATAATACTTTGGATATTCTGAAATCTACTACATGGTTTCTCTGATTTCTCTCAAAACTGAAGTGATGTTGGAATTTCTATTTCATAGTTGATTGATAGACTCTAAAACAGTATCAACAGAATAAAAGAGGTTTTTACTTTTAACATCATAGAAAAAGTCAAGATACTGCATACACTAATGATAACAAATAACCTATTAACTGCCAGCTCTTTAACATACTCTATTATATACAATGACTATAATATTTAAATTATATCTAATTGTGTTAACCTCATTTTGTCCTATTTTAGAAACAGAGGTAAATATTACTGAAGAAAGACACTTTCCTAACCATAAATAGCTCAAATAATACTCTTTTGAGTTAACTTTCATAAGAATTTTTTTGTATTAACTAGATACCTAGTAATCAAATTTTAGAAAGTGTTAAACCATAAATCATGTATCTGTGTATCTGTATCATCTGTGTCATAAAGGAAAACACAGTAAGAAAGGACATGTTGTCCTTAAAGTTTTATAATGATTTGAATTTATTTCACATTTAAAAATATTTACAAACTTCTATCTTCAGGCTCATATTCAAATAAAACATTAATATGAAAAAGAGGCAAAAGTTTTCATAGCTCTTGGAAGTAGGGGTTTAAAACAACTAATTGGGGTTCTTTTCTCTTTTAGATAGCAGGCTTTTGGAAACAGAGATCCATTTGCATAAAGTTCTCCAATGTATAATTAACTAATTTTTCATTTTGACATTATCCATTTGGTAGAACAAGAACCTATAGCTTCCTCTGCCTTCATTTTCAAGAAAGCTGAGCAAGAAATGCAAGAAATGCCCTTTGCCCCACTTAACATTTCAAATACCAAAACCACTGACTGGTACTTGGTTACTTGATATTGGGATGTCTGTATAGCAATGTCTCCAAAAGGATGTGATAGTTTCTGTTATCTCAGAAATATGAGACCACCCTCTCAAACTCCCTGTCTGGATCCACTTGAACACATTTTATATTTTACAACCTACACAGAGCTAATGTACTTCTTCTGTTGATCTTGAAAATAACTATTATTTTTATCATAGGCCCTTTAGTAATATCTCCAAATTCAAATGCCTAACAAAGTCATAAGCAACTCATGCATTTACAACAGCCATAGGCTCCCAGGAGGACAAATTGTTTACATATATATGTACACAGTGATGAAATTATGAACAGCGGGACTGCCAGTCCATTATCTGTTATTAGGAATCATGCTAGAAGGAATTATAGGAAGTGCTGATGCTGCAGCCTAACTTCTCTATCAAGATCGTGTCTAGAGCTGCAATGCCACAGACTGCCTTATAGCTCCTAATATTGGTGTGTCCAGGTGATAACAACCAGCTGGTTTGTTAAAATTCTGATTTTGGACAAAATGTTGTATGGTTTTATTATGATACTTTCCATGGAGTAGATTTGATTCTTTGGTGGTTTTAAATGTAGGTGCACTTTTTCTTTCTCTCTCCAGTGGTATTCAATGGGTAATACAGTTTGTATGTGTGCGTGTGTGTGTGTGTGTGTGTGTGTGTGTGTGTGTGTGGGTGTGAGAGTGAGTGAATGGAAACTTGTAATGAGTGAACTCACCTTACTTCCTAGGTAAAATGCAGACATCAATCAGTACTTTGAAATGGTACATAATTTATTTGAAAAACCAGCTTTCAACAAAGCAAGTTTGTAGATTTGGGCAACTCATTCAGTCCTCTCCTGTTTGTAGCCTCTTCATACTGAGCTATGTGCTAAGGATTTGGGTTCTCAATAATCTGACTTTTGTCTGTCTCTGGTTATAGACAAGAACCAGGACACAATCAGCCAGAGGACACATCTTCAAGCCTTTTGCACATCAACGGTAATGCTCCTGACTCAGATTAGAGGACTAGGTTCATTTTTCCAGTGGTGGTGTCCAATATTTTTTTTCTTTTCTTTGATGTGTAATATGTCTATAAGCAGAATCTCTAAGGGAAGGCTTTCAAGAATGCCTGTCTCATACTCCCACATTGCTCCTATATTATTATTTTGTTTTTTTTCATTGATCTGCTCCATTTTGACATTTCGTGGACATAATTGCTCACATTCACAAGTGCTGCACTCAGACGATTGAGGCAGGAGGAGTGCTTGAAGTTCCAGAAAAGCCTGAGCTATAGAGTGAGTTTCACCATGTCCCAAACCAAACCAAGCCACACCAACCCAAACCAAACCAACCAGTGTTTGACATTTAAATATTTTTTAGTAAAACAAATTCAAATGTTTTATATCTATATCTGTATCTATATCTGTATCCTTAGGATGGCTTCCTGAGGATAAACCCAAGAGTGTACCTCTGCACACAAGGGGCACACACATTTACATATACATGTACCAGCACATACATGTACATGCAAACATACACATACACATCACACATAGATGTAAAACAATCAAAATTCCTAACATTCTCTCTACCAAATGCTACAGTTTAGAAGGGCAAATTGTAATATCTGTAGATGTTATCCATCTTAATTACCTGAAAAAATGATCCCTATACAGATGCTAATGTCTCCCAGAAGTATAAGACAGTAGAGTATGTTCTTTTAAACGTAGGTCCATCTCACTTAAATTTCATGTTAAGCAAGTGGACTGTAAATGAACAAAATCCCCCCAAAACTCTCAAAACAAAAACCTCTCATGTTTCTAATATGAACAAAAATCTCTGCCTTCAGCATATCTACATTCCTGAAAACTTACATTTAGACAGACTCCACTGCTCCCAGGTGATGTGTATTCTCATTTGTAGAGATTTTGTGTCAGGTTCAACATTAATGATACATACAGGTAACAATGTTCATTTTCTCTTTGTTGATACAGCTGCACTAATGGAAAGATTGCCTCTAGCTGTCAGTTATGTGACGGCTACTGTTACAACGGGGGCACGTGCCAGCTAGACCCTGAGACTAATGTACCTGTGTGTCTGTGAGTATCTAATAGTGGTGTGGCTAATTCAAAATGGGACTGTGTATATGGGCAGAGTCCCTAGCCTATTGCTTTCCTTTCTTGGGGTAACACTTTTTAAATGAGTGTTTTATAGACATGCCTAGTCAAATTTTGTCCCTGTTGGCTTGTGTGCTGCTGAATTTCCTTCTCCATATATTTTTTAAAGATTTCATTCAATTCTTAGCATCATGCCATTCCAGACATCCACCGATCTTTCAACAGAAAAGTCATAAAAATTGCTCTAAATTTATTGACCTTATTAAGCTATGCGAACCTACAGATGTTGTCTTTTATGAATCCCTTGGTACCTTTTCAAAAGAATTTGGAACATGTTTCCAAATACATGATGTTATTTGATGTTTATATCAGGCTTAGAATGATGAAAAGAAATTAAGCCCTTGGTTCTTAGAGACATTATGTGGACCCTGGGTTTCTGAAGATTTATTGAAGATTATAGAGATTCTCGAAGAAAATTCGAGAAAATATAGACTTTGACATTTTCTTGCTCTCAGAGGTTTGATTGTCTAGAAGAGGCAACATAGAACCATTGCATTGATGTGGTCACTGTGTCGAGTGCTGTTTTAACACTGAGCAGAGGAATAATGCCCACAAAGGAATCAAATCAGTATCCTCCTCCACAGCTTATCAGAGGAGCATGTTGAAAGTGTGTATGAGAGCAAGGCCAGCATTCCTGAGAACACTTTGTCATATATTGCTATCTGTGTATGAAATAAATTTGAACATATTTGCCAAAAAGCAGACGCTTTATTTAGCTGTATTTTACTGAAATTCTGCAGATGCTCTGTGGGGTTTAAAAGTCAGCGCTGTGACCAGAGAGAGAACCCTTGTGATCACTACTGTCAGAATGAGGGGATTTGCACTTTAACTGCGTTTAATGAGCCGAGATGCAAGTAGGTTTAACCTTCCACTTACCGCTGCTCTTCCTGTGACATCATTTCAGGCCACAGTTCATTGGTTTAAATCATGAACATCCACATGCATTTCACAGTGTGTACTTAATCTCAGGGCTCATCTGTGTCACATGCACTTAACCTATGCTTCGCTCACAGATAACTGTGTACACCACAGACTGCTGGAGTGTGTAGAAATATAGCAGGCAATGAAAAAGCTACTTGTACTGCCTCATAAAAACACATTTGCTTGAATAGGAGCTTTTAATAGGAGAAGTACAGAAACAGGTGGTTTAATGACTGTTACGATCTACTATATTTGGAACACTGATTTTTTTAAATTAGTAGCTGACTCTTTCAAAACCTGGTGGGGTAATGTACTATTTTTTTTCTAAAATTTTATTGGAAACTACAAGATTCCCCAAGAAAAGAAATAAGCTCATACCACAACATTTCAAGAAATTTAATTTCTTCATAATTTCAGTCAGTATTTCTTAATTTAGTTTGAGGTGATTTGGATACTTATGAGAAATATTTCCTTGGAAATTTCCAAGGTTTTCTGGAGTGACCAAAGTGGACATTATTTTTTCCAAGTGTACTTGCGTTTAGAGATGGCTTCTATCTGCTTCCTTCCTTATTAAAATTGGCAGCTCTGTTTGGCACCTGATAATAGCCTTGTGGAGGTGGAATCAGCCTGCCTAGCAAAAGTGTATGACACAGTCATATTAATGTTCAAGTATTTTATTACCCACACTTGACTATTTTGTTATAAGTTCCTAGAGTTCTGAGACAGAGGCCTAGGCTGAACGAGGTTGTCTTTGAAGGATAGTACCTGTAGCATGGGGGAAAGTCATGGGCCACATGGTCCCCATAGCAAGGGGTTTGGTGACACTTAAAAGAAAAATGATGACTTGAACCTTGTAGTGCTGCTGGAAGAACGAATAAACAGAATTCACTGATGGTTCAGAGTGACTGAGTTCAGGATGATCATTGGCCCAAAGATACTGAAAGGTTAATTTTAGTTCAGTTTTAGAATTCCTCTGCCCTTGATCCTAGTCTTTAATCATCCTGTCAGTGTTTCCCTGTTTCTGGGGAAAATCCACACCCTAGAATCTGTGTTGCTTCCTGTGCAGAAAATACCCCACCTCACCAGAATGAGAATTCTTAATGGCTGTAGCAGTCCACACCATACCCCTCCTAAGTAGGCATCATCAGAGAATGATAAACAGTGTACCAGATAACATAGAGTGTAAAAAAATGTGGTAAATGCAGTCGTTCAGGGCCTGTACCTTGCTTATGCATATACGTGTTTCTATGTTCATTGGTCCTTATGGAAGCGATACCTGTATCTTGGATTTTTCCCTTTACATTTTTTTTGTAAATCAGAAGGGATAGTAATGCTTATATTTCATTCTTTATATAGTTAAATTATGAAAGAAGCATCAAGAAATCACATTATCGTTAACAATCATTAACCAAATATTAATAACTAATAAGGAAGATGTCTGTGTCAATTTAAATAATATATTAACCACAGAACATGACTCAGAGTGTGAAGCATTCTGCATGGTGTATGTGTGAGAGGGCACTGCTGTTCTCCAGTAGCTGCCCTTTTCAGGAGGACACATCGAGGTCACACAGATCCCTGGTTGACTCTGATGTCCATGCCAATGATGGGACCCTATGCTACACTACCTGCTTTGTGCTTGGATCATTACAGTATACAATACTGAAGAACTTAAAATTCATGTTGAGTAGAAAATTCATGTTTAAGAAAAAGAAGTATCATTTAATAATTGTTAACGATCAAAATATGCTCAAAGTTCTATAGAAAAACTACTGAATGAAGAATAATTCCTTGTGGGAGACTCAAAAGTCCTTTTAGGCAAAGTAATGTATTAGTAAATTTTGAAAAAAATTAAAGGGATTTTGGCAGGATGGAATGGCTGAATAACTTTTTGAAGGAAAAGTGGCATAATGAAAGGATGATAGGAATGAAACAGTCCTAAGGGGAAGGATGGGAGACGAGGTCTGCTGGACATACCATGAGGTGTGTTTTCTGCTGTGATGTAAGTGTAGGTTGGGAGAGAAGGACATCCAGTTAAAGCTGGATGCAGGGGAAATACATATTTTTTCTTACTCTGTTGAAGGAAGAATCAAGAAGAGCAGAGAGAGAAATAAAAATTTGAGAAATTTATCATTGGTAGATTCCTCCATGTTGAAGGATGGTCAAGTATATCAAATCCAGACAGTTCAAAAAGGATAAGCTTTACATCCAGTTTGCAGTATACAAGTAGTTAGATATTGAGAGACATTTTGAAAAGGCACCAGACAGAATCCACACTACGGCTGGAAATTTGAAGATGAGCCAGTAAATAACCACTTAGATTTCTTCCTCAGTGTTAAGAGTGCAGTTAAGGGAAAATAATAGATAAGATCAAAGGAAACATTTTATTATGATAAAGACATAAGGATTGAAGAGCACTGTATTTTCAGTATGCATTAAAGCCCCATTGCTAGGGTCTGTGAAGGAAAGAGAGGAAGAACAGATACTGTCTCATGCTCTAGGCTCTTAGGAATGAAATTCCTAGAATATGGGAAAAGTGATCCTTAGGATATTTATAACTCCTATAGTACTAACATATACATCACTCTAAATAAACTTAATTTATGGTCCTTATGATCAAGTGCAGTACAAAGTAATCCAGATAAGGAAACATGAAGCTCTATGAATATTTTTCTAGTAACAGTTCTACTGACAAGGGGAGATTCTGGGGAATGTAGGTTTGAGCCTGATCACAAACGGTAGCAATCTTTAATCTTTAATGAACATTTGGGTGTGCTACCTCATTTAAAAGGCTTTCTAGGAAACAGAACTTAAGAAATACAATGCAGTACTTGTTTTAATCTTTCTGGTAGACCACTTTCCTTCATAGATTAAAAACTGGTGGAATTGCACAGAAATAATGCACAATTGGAAAGTCTATAAAGCATTCAAATCTATGAAAGTAACAGTTCAGGTTTTTTTTTCCCCCACATACATTCATTGCTGGGGCTGGAGAGATGACTCATCAGTTAGGAGCACTGGCTGCTCTTGTAGAGGACCCAGTTTCAGTTTCCAGCACCCACATGGCGGCTAATAACCACCAGTAACTCCAGTTCCAGATCTGATGCCCTCTTCTGGCCTCCAGGCATTGTAAGGCATGGATGCACTTGCACACAAGCAGGCAAAAAACTCATGCACATAAAATAACAATAAATAAAATGTTAAAAGAATACATTTTATTACCATATCTTTCAATTAGAGGAATAGATTTTTTTCATTGAAAGCCTTCAATTTTGTCTCCAGACAGTCATTTTCAATTATTAGTATGTGTGAAAAAAAAGCCAAAGAAAACTAACGAAGAATAAAACAGTATATATTTTATTTTTACATTTATTGGGAGAAACTTTTGACATTTAATATTCATTAAAGTAAACATATGGAAAATGTTAAATTTTTAAAATAAATT